CTCAATACCTCTCGTAGAGAACATCTCAGGGTTGGTTATTTTTTGCTGAATCCAAGGAAAAATTTTAATGGATATGCTTGGTAGACTGACCTTGTGTGGATTTTTCCATGTTTCCGTGCCTTGGGACAGGTAGCTTTCCTCTGGGCGGGGAAGTGTTAACAGACGGGTATCCTCTTCAAGAACTGTCCATCCACTGGGTCTTCCTACAAATCTTGACCTGAATTAAGTACCATCATATGAACTGCATGGTCCAAGTACCCAGAGATTTTAGGGCCCCCAGTTCTTTACTGCCATCAGGAATGGTCTTGCATGGTTCTTGCTATAAAGCTGCAATCCTGACCTGGTTATAAATGAGGCTAAGCTCTCAGGTTGGAAGCAGAAAAGCCAGAGCCACATCTCTTGGAGCTTCTAGGTTCTGTGCTGCAGAGCAGGGATTTAGATCCTGCAAAACCTAGATGAAGCACCTTGGCACTTGGGATTGGGAAATTGGGGGTAAAATATTGTGACTTGCACCAGAACCAAATGTCAAAATTGTGAAATTTCCTGTGACTTGGAAACCTGCTTCTCAGTCAGTTTGGATTTCCAAGCCCATCAGCTGGCTCAGAAAATAGCAGGTTGTTCCAGCTCTCTCTGTGTCCTTTTGAAAAATCCTTTCATTCTTATAATGATAATTCTGAATTGTTTCTTTTCTTGCAGGTCAGTCCCTAGGAATGGAAAACCAAACCACTGTGACTGAGTTTATTCTCTTGGGACTTTCCAGTGACCCGCAACTCCAAATGTTACTGTTCTTTGTGTTTTTGGTGATATACCTAATCACCCTAGCAGGGAACACAGTCATAATGTTGGTGATACAAGCTGATTCTCACCTTCATACCCCCATGTATTTCTTCCTGTTCCATCTATCTTCTGTTGACCTCTGCTATTCCTCAGCCATTGTCCCTAAGATGCTGGTGAATTTGCTAGCAATGCATAAAACTATTTCTGTCAATGCTTGCTTTACCCAGATGTTTTTCATATGTTTTTCAGCTAGTTGTGAAGCATTCATGCTCTCAGCAATGGCTTATGACCGCTATGCTGCCATATGTGATCCCCTGCATTACGTGGGGACTATGAATAAAAGAGTGTGCAGACAGCTAGTGGGAGGATCCTGGACAATGGGCCTTATGTATTCACTGGTCAACACAGTTCCTATATTAAACTTGAACTTCTGTGGGCCCAATGAAATTGGGCATTTTAGCTGTGAACTTCCCCCACTCCTAACTCTGTCCTGCACTGAGACACTCATCAACAAAATAACTCTGCTTTCTTCAATTGTAGTCCTTGCTGTCATCACTTTCCTCCTTGTCTTGATTTCCTACATCCAAATCATCTCCACCATCTTGAGGATACGCTCTGCAGAGGGTAGACATAAAGCTTTTTCCACCTGCAGCTCCCACCTCATTGTGGTGGGTTTATTATATACAACAGCTCTTTTTCAGTACATGAAACCCAGCTCCATTTCTTCAGTGATCCTGGATCAAGTTGTTTCCATCCAGTATAGCATCCTTACCCCTATGTTAAACCCTATTATCTACAGTCTAAAAAACAAAGAAGTGAAAATAGCCTTGGGAAGACTTCTGAAAAAAAACAACAAAGAAATCAAAGTCCCAACTCATGTAAAAAAAGAACAATTTTAAACAGGCATGTTAACTTTTAAAAATTTTAAATAAATGCTATTGAAAATACAGAAGTACGGGAAACAGGTACTGGGATGATGTTAAAAACAAATGGCAATGACTTTGTTTGTAAAAATATCTTGTATTGTACCTGCTACTGAAAGTAAAAATTATTACAAGAAGAGAACCCACACAAGTGTTGTAGTTAGATTTTAAACACTGTTTATATCAAGTCAAGGTATCACAAGTAAGGCTGAATTTATCTTGAATTTTACCCTATTTTGGTGGCAGTTCAATTAGTAATTAATTCAACATAAATTATTACGTGAAGCACTACTACTAGTAAAACTGACTGAGTATAGATCACAGAATATATCAAGTCAGAGGATTAGTTATAAGCTGGTCCCCACTGAAGGGGACTTCGGCATGTGGTGGATGAAATTCTATTGACCTAAAATTGACTGTAATCACCTAACTCCTGAGGTCCTTGTTGAACCATATTGGCAATCCACTATACTGGCAGTTTTGCAAATGAACCAGATGACAGAAAAGTAGAACAGAGTAGGGTACATAGAAGTCATCTGTAGCAGGAGGAGAGCAAAAGGCATAGTAGCACCTCCTAGCACCTGTGACACTTGTGCTTGCTTGGTCCCAGGGCTTTTCTCCTTCTGTCGCCTGTCACGCCTTTCTTGTTACTTTTGGAGGAATGCAAGTTGGGAGACTGCCTGGGACCCCTGGGTGAATTCTTGTCTAGTGTCTAAAATTACTCTCTCTCAGTATCTCGCAATATTAAATGCCTTAAGGTGTGCACCCAAGGTCTCCAAGATCTTCTGCAGCCAATCCCATGCCTCGGAGGTGTTACTGTCCAGTAGGGCTGTACGAAACGGAAGCGTTTCATTTCAACTTTTTGACAGAACTGTGTTTCATTTTGATTTCTGTTTTGAGTCAAAACAGCTGTTCTGTTCTGCTCCGTCAAAACGTTTTGCCGTTTCGACCCTGTTTTGATGTTTCGCCCATAGGATATAACGGGGAAGGTCAAAACAGGCTATAACTTTGTCATTTCTGGCCAGATTTGGATAAAACTTGTAAAAATTGTAGCCCCTTCTGAGGGTATGACACAAGCTATATTTGACAAAGATAGATGCAGGGAGTTCGGAGAAACTGCATCCCAAATTCTTTAGAGAAAATCTTATGTAAGGTATACGTGTTAAGCCACAGTGGGGTCAAAACTGCAGGGATAGTAGCCCCTGCTGAGGCAACAAAGCCTGCCAAGTTTCAAGGAGATAGGTGTAGGGGGTTTGGGGAAACTGCACCCCAAAATCCTGAAAGCAAAGCTCATGTCACGTGTATGTGTTAAGACACAGCGAGGTCAAAACTACAGGTAAGCTAGCCCCTGTAGAGGCCACAAAGCCTGCCAAGTTTCAAGGAGATAGGTGTAGGGGGTTTGGGGAAACTGCACCCCAAAATCCTGAAAGCAAAGCTCATGTCACGTGTATGTGTTAAGCCACAGCAGGGTCAAAACTGCAGGGATGGTAGCCCCTGCTGCCTCCACAAAGCCTGCCAAGTTTCAATGAGATAAGTGTAGGGGTTTGGGGGAAACTGCACCGCAAGCTGCGGACAAGCAGAACTCGTGACATGGGTGACACTGCGTGTGTTAAGGTGCAGCAGGGTGAAGGCTGCAGGGGTGGTAGCCCCTGCTGAGGCCACAATACCTGCCAGCTGTCAAGGAGACCAGTGCAGGGGGGTTCTGGGGCCCTGCACCTCTGGCCACAGGCAGGCAAAACTCGTGACATGGGTGCTTGTGCAACTGTGTCTGTCTTGGGGCAGACTGGGGGGAACTACTGCAGGCCTGGCTGCTAGGCCCTGCTGCAGCCACAAAGCCTGCAGCTGTCGAGGAGATCAGTGCAGGGGGGTTCTGGGTTCTGGAGCCGGGCACCCCTAGCTGCTGACACTTCTATTCAGTGGATGAATCCACTGGGAATATTTTTGCCCCATGGAGAACAAGAACCCAACCCAGAACCCATGCTAAACCCTTTCCTGTGCCATCTTGGCCACACTGAGAGCTGGGCCTAAGCACCAGGGTCTCTTCTGTGTCATCCTAGAAAACGCCCCCCAACAGACTTGTCATGGTGGAAGGGAACAAAGCCCCTTCTCCAACACAGGATGAAGCCCTGGAACAACTCCCTTACCAAAGGACGCAGGGATGTGCAGGTGAGAGCCAGACCCCTTAACCTCCCAGGTTATTGGACACTTTTCCTTGTGGGAAAGCAAGGCACGGTGGGACTCTAGCCCTGGAACCTCTCACACAATGGAACAGCATGCTGCCTTCTCACTTGACCCCCCAAAAACCTGTCCTTTCTCTGGGAGTCAATGAGTCTACGGGGGAAAGGTTAGGCCACTTGTGGGCCACTTACACGGAGCACACTTCCCCTCCCTTTTTCCTTCCTTTTGTCCAGACTACATCACCTCACCCCAAGTCTGTGTAACAAGATGCAGGATAAAACGATCATCTGGGGCAGAACTACTTGCAACCAATCAGGCACACACCCCAGTGCCCGCCAGCCTGCCTCTGCTCCCTCTTCTCAGTTTCTGTTCCCCTGAAAGACTGCCTTCTGAATCTCCAAATCTTTTTCTAAATCTTTTCTGAATTGATTCGGAGGCTCCAAATCGATTTGGAGGGGATTTTTCCCTTCCCAATTCGATTCAGATTCGGTGACTTGGCCTCCAAATTGGACTGAAGCTTATCCAAATTGAGTCAGCGACCAAAGGTTTGCACACCCCTACTGTGCAGCATTACAGCAGCAGAGGCTCCGGGACACTATGAGTCACTGTAGCTGGGAGAGGCCTGTATGTTTGCCCAGTCCTGGACCACCAGACCTGAATTACTTAAACTGCTTTTTCTCTCCAAACTTTCAGGAAAGGTCTCTGTCTCTGTTAATGGAGTTGACCAATAAATGCTTGCATATAGAAAATCAGAGAAAATAGGGAAATACCTCTGGGTTAGGGATTTTTATAATATGATCACCTGCTTATTTCCTACAGATAAATCTATATACCAAGTGAATCAAAACAGACACATCAAAACACTTTTAGCTAATTACACACGAGATACGTTGTCCCAGAGGTCCCCACAAAATGTTTCGATTCTCCAATTAATGTTTAGTCTTAGAGTCTGGAAGATTTTGGTTCTCTGTCTCCTAAAGGGGAGGAACAGTAAAGGCAGGTATTTATACTGGATCTACAAACTAATAATAATCTATCACTTTGAGCTGTTTTCAGGGTAAAGAGAAGCATGTAATCTGTTCTTTCTCCCAGTCTTTTACGGAACAGACATCACATGAACTGTTTTGATATGAATGGTTGGTGAGTGCATTCTTATTTTATTCTTTGCTCTGCTGCGTGGGAGGCTGGGTGGGAGCAATATAAGAATAGATATAGTTGTATTTGCTTTTGTGAATGTGTGTGTGTGTGGCTTTGTCTGTGCCTGTGTGTGTATATATATGTCATTTTGGAATGAAAATGTAACATACAGTATTTGAAAGGTTTTGTGGGGAATAATATATACAATTCTGGCTACCAATCTTCAAGAGAAATTAATTAAAATTGTAACAGATGCAAAGAAGGGCAATCAGTGAAAAGGAAACTTTTTGCTAGTGTATAGGGGGAGGATAAAAATAAGGGAGTTAAAAGAACTTGTTAAATAAAAGGATAGTATCAGAATACAGAACGAAAAGCTGTATGAACCCTCCATAAATTCACCTAGGCTGAGCAGGAGACAGAGAATATATAATAGGCGCATCCAAAATACATCGGGCTTTACTCGGTCCCTGAATTCCTTCTAGGCCTAAGTCATCTTGGCCAGATCCACAAAAGAGCTTTTGTGCCTCAGTTGAAATTAAGGGGCAATGTAGGAGCCAACATCCAAGCTTGCAGTCCTGAATTGTTAGGTGCTACCTAATGCTGCATGTGCCTAGACCCTAGAGACATTTTCGCGTTTGAATTTCAAGTTTCCCAAGTGCCTAGAATTGAACTTTGCGCTAGGTCCAGACCACCTTAGGCTAGATGCACTTTTGCACTTTGGCAATGCCTGAACCGAGTCAGGATTGAGACACTGTGTGTTCTTGTGCCAAGGAGTCCTGTGAAGTCCCATGTAGTAGGTGTTCTCAGAGCACATTCAATACACACGCGCAGGGCTGGGTTTCTCACAAAATCTGGTGGTGTCCACAATCTTATTTTAAAACCTGAGTCCAGGTGGTATTGTTGCCACCTTCTTAATCATTAGCTCAGTGTTTTGCAGACTTCTTCATGATATGGGACATTAATAACAAATTCCCTTGTCTACCTGATGGGGCTCAAAATCACACCCCACACAAGACCACTCAAACCTCCAAAGTCATGATGCTGAAGACTAGGATGACATACTATTCATTTCTGGATGCCTATATTGGGTTGTGGACGTGATTATTAAAGGCCCCAAAATGACACTTAGGTACAGCAGTGACACACTACTTCTGGGTACATAGGTAGCCATCCATGTGCATAGGGATACAGGCCACAGAAATAGTGACCACCTGTGCATGCTTAAACCTTAGACCATCTATCCTTAAACCTTAAAAAAAGTCTACATTTTCACAACTGAAAACTAGAAAGCCACCAAAATCTCCCCTTTTTCTGTGTTATGTTATCATATACTGTGTTAGAATATATTAAAAAAAGATAAATTTTAAAATATGGTTCTGTTTACTTTGTTGTCTACTGGCTACCTTCATTGCCCCACTTCAGGCAAACTGGTACGTGGTTTTACTTAATAATTTAAAATACATTAATCCTAATTATATACTATAATGAACCAGACTTTAGAGATTAATCTAAAGGCATGGAAACTATGAAGAATATTTATATAGCAAGCTAAAACATGATGAAAGACTGAATCATAAAATTGAAATGCAAGAGAATAACAAATCAAGAGGACGGTGTTGTTGTTTTATAGTTTCATAAGGCTTAGGGTTATAACACCCCAGTGAAATATCTGTCCAGGCTCCTTTTGAAGACCGCCAAGGTAGGAGAGAGCACCACCTCCCTTGGGAGTCCTTTCCAGAGCCTGGCAGCCCTAACTGTAAAGTAATGTCTCCTGATGTCCAGACTGAACCTGCTCGCTAACAATTTGTGGCTGTTATTCCTAGTAACCGTGGGTGGTACCCTGGGGAATAGAGCCTCCCCTAACTCCTGTTGGTTCCCTCTGGTGAGTTTATAGATGGCCACCAGGCCGTCTCAGCCTTCTCTTGTGGAGGCTGAATAGGTTCAGGCCCTTCAGCCTCTCTTCATGGGGCCTGACCCACTGCCTCTTGACCATGCGAGTGGCCCTCCTCTGGACCCTCTCAAGCATAGCCACATCCCTCCTGAAGTGCGGCGCCCAGAACTGGATGCAGTACCCCAGCTGCAGCCTGACCAGTATCGCATAGAGGGGAAGGATCACCTCCCTGGACCTGCTTGTGATGCAGCTGTAGATGCACGACAAGATGCGGTTAGCTTTACAGACCACTTGCTCGCATTGCCAGCTCATGTTCATCCTGTAGTCAACAATGACTCCAGATCCCTTTCAGCCACTGTGTTGTTGAGAAAGGAGTTCCCCAGCCAGTAGGTGTGTTGCTGGTTCCTTCTCCCTAGATTCAGCACCTTGCACTTATCTGTGTTGAACTCCATCCTATTTTTATCCGCCCACCTCTGCAACTTGTCTAGATCTAGCTGGATCCTGTCCCTCGCCTCCAGCGTGCCCACCTCACCCCACATCTTGGTGTCTTGGTGGGATGAAGGAGCTGGACAAATAATGATATTTCAGATAGGTGTTCAAAGCAAGAAATTAGGGAGGGGAAGTATGGGTTGAAACAGAGTTGTCCATCCTGAAACAGAATTGCTCCAAATCTTGCAACATAATCCACACAACTAGCTGTCTACAGTGTGATGGCTCAACCAGTATGTACAAGGGGCTGTCTCCGCAGATCCAGGTCAGTGACATGGGCTTTCAAATACTATTTTATTGTAAATTGTATTCACATGAAAATGGCGGGTAAGGTTCTTTGAGTCAATGTTGAATACTTGAAAAGTCCTTGGACAAGTTGTTGACTCCTGTTTAGTTATAGCAAATACTAAAAAGACACTAACTCACTCAATTTTATTAATTTACTTGGAATGAGAAACTGAATATACGAACTGGCACAGAGCTGGAAGTAATGTTTTTCCTGGGAATTTCCACATTGCAGCTCAATACGTCTTGTGCAGAACATCTCAGGGTTGATTATATTTTGCTGAATCCAAGGAAAAATTTTGATTGATGTGCTTGGTAGACTGACCTTGTGTGGGAAAGTGGATTTTTCCATGCTTCCTTGCCATGGGACAGGCAGCTTTCCTCTGCACTGGAAAGCATTATCAGACCTGTGTCCTCTCCAAGAACTGTCCATCCAGTGGGTCTTCCTACAAAGCTTGACCTGAATTAAGTGGCATCTTATGAACTGCATGGTCCAAGTACCCAGAGATTTTAGGTCCCCCAGTTCTTTACTGCCATCGGGAATGGTCTTGCATGTTTCTTGCTATAAAGCTGCAATCCTGATCTAGCTATAAATGAAGTCTGGCTATAAATGAGGCTAAGCTCTCAGGTTGGAAGGAGAAAGGCCAGAGCCACGTCTCTTGGAGCTTCCAGGTTCTCTGCCGCAGAGCAGGGACTTGGATCCTGCAAAACCTAGATGAAGCACTTTGGCAACATGTTGGGATTGGAAATTTGGGGGTATAATATTGTGACTTGCACCAAAACCAATGTCAAAATTGTGAAATTTCCTGTGACTTGGAAACCTGCTTCTCAGTCAGTTTGGATGTTCAAGCCCATCAGCTGGCTCAGAAAATAACAAGTTGTTCCAGCTCTCTCTCTGTCCTTTTTGCAGTCTTTTGAAAAGTCCTTTCATTGTTATAATGATAATTCTGAATTGTTTCTTTTCTTGCAGGTCAGTCCCTAGGAATGGAAAACCAAACCACTGTGACTGAGTTTATTCTCTTAGGACTTTCCAGTGACCCGCAACTCCAAATGTTACTGTTCTTTGTGTTTTTGGTGATATACCTAATCACCCTAGCAGGGAACACAGTCATAATGTTGGTGATACAAGCTGATTCTCACCTTCATACCCCCATGTATTTCTTCCTGTTTCACCTATCCTTTGTTGACCTCTGCTATTCCTCAGCCATTGTCCCTAAGATGCTGGTGAATTTACTAGCAAGGCATAAAACTATTTCTGTCAATGCTTGCTTTACCCAGACATTTTTCATATTTCTCTCAGCTAGTTGTGAAGCATTCATGCTCTCTGTAATGGCTTATGACCGCTATGCTGCCATATTTGATCCCCTGCATTACGCGGGGACTATGAATAAAAGAGTGTGCAGACAGCTAGTGGGAGGATCTTGGACAATGGGCCTTATGTATTCACTGGTCAACACAGTTCCTGTATTAAACTTGAACTTCTGTGGGCCCAATGAAATTGGGCATTTTAGCTGTGAGCTTCCCCCACTCCTAACTCTGTCCTGCACTGAGACACTCGTCAACAAAATGACTCTTCTTTCTTCAATTGCTGTCCTTGCTGTCATCAATATCCTCCTTGTCTTGATTTCCTACATCCAAATCATCTCCACCATCTTGAGGATACGCTCTGCAGAGGGTAGACATAAAGCTTTTTCCACCTGCAGCTCCCACCTCATTGTGGTGGGTTTATTATATACAACAGCTCTTTTTCAGTACATGAAACCCAGCTCCATTTCTTCAGTGATCCTGGATCAAGTTGCTTCCATCCAGTATAGCATCTTTACTCCTATGCTGAACCCTATCATCTACTGTCTAAAAAATAAAGAAGTGAAAATAGCCTTGGGAAGAATTTTGAAAAAAACAAAGAAATCAAAGTCCCAACTCATGTAAAAAAGAACAATATGAAACAGGCATGTTAACTTTTTAAAATTTTAAATAAATGCTATTGAAAATACAGAAGTACGGGAAACGGGCACTGGGATGATGTTAAAAGCAAACAACAATGACTTTGATTGTAAAAATATCTTGTATTGTACCTGCTACTGAAAGTAAAAATTATTACAAGAAGAGAACTCACGCAAGTGTTTTAGTTAGATTTTAAACACTGTTTATATCAAGTCAAGGTGTCACAAGTAAGCCTGAATTCATAAACAAAGTCATAGCATAAGTATAACACATTTTAAACAATAATAGAATATTTCAAAACATAGTCCAACAGGGCCACGTTTGCAACGAAGGCTGAAGAAGGCCCCAAGTTCAGGCCTGTGCATAACCAGCCTTTGTTCTTTATCCCTGGGCCAAAATTTCTATTCAATAAATCCCAGACCCAAGTACAAACTGTCATGACATAGGCAAGTCCTCACGAGCCATCCTGTTTCTGTGAACTAGCCACAGCCTTAAGCCACCCATGCTTAAATCTTTCCTGTGCCATCTCGGTCATACTGAGAGCTGGGCCTAAGCACCAGGGTCTCTTCTGTATCATCCTAGAAAATGCCCCCCAACAGGCTTGTCATGGTGAAGGGGAACAAAGCCCCTTCTCCAACACAGGATGAAGCCCTGGAACAACTCCCTTACCAAAGGACGCAGGGATGTGCAGGTGAGAGCCAGACCCCTTAACCTCCCAGGTTATTGGACACTTTTCCTTGTGGGAAAGCAAGGCACGGTGGGACTCTAGCTCTGGAACCACTCACACAGTGGAACAGCATGCTGTCTTCTCCCAAAGTAACCTGTCCTTCCTCTGGGAGTCAGTGAGTCTATGGGAGAAAGGTTAGGGCACTTATGGGCCACTTACATGGAGCACACTTCCCCTCCCTTTTTCCTTCCATTTGTCCAGACTACATCACCTCACCCCAAGTCTGTGTAACAAGATGCAGGATAAAACGATCATCTGGGGAAGAATTACTTGCTACTAATCAGGCACACACCCCAGTGCCCTCCAGCCTGCCTTTAGGCCCCCAGAGGCACATTTTGTGGTCATTCAGCAGCTCCTCACCTGGTACTTGAAGAGTACACAGTCCTAAATGAGGCTGCAGGAAACAGGTTCCTGCTCTACCCTTTAAAACATGGCCCAAGACAGCAGATTTCATTCCTTTTTTTTTACCTAGGCTTGAATTCTTGCTGACATAACTCTGACCTTCACTGGTGGTAGACCCTAAACTTTGCCTTAGGCTTCTAGCTTACCATGAACACTGGTCTTGCATCGTACCTCTGTGACTCAGGGCTTTCTGTGAATCCCTGGCTTTGACACCTGGCTCTCTGTGAAGCAGTCTCCTTCCCTATTAACTAGGTAGCCTACCTGCACCACATATGCCACAGTCCCAAAGAAATAAGACAAAGGAGGCATGGGAAAGTAGTCCTAGTCCTGAAGAGGAAGTGGGGATGGTCAGCCCTTCAGATTTTATGCTAAGAGCACCATGTCCAAAGAATTCCTCCTTTGGTATTGTGGACTTGACACTTCAAAGTAGAGACCACATAGGTGACATGCCCCTTCTGGCCCACAATAACCCAAAGCATGTTTGCAGCTGATGTCCTCAAACCTTTAATCCCCCCATGCAGTAAATAAAGGCCATCCAGACAAACACCTCCTGTAGAAGCATCTCAGTGCCAATGGTTTCTAGATGGTGTGAAATCTTTCCTGGGCAGATTATCTGGGAAAGGAATTACCCATGTCAAAGTGGCTGGCAATGGAACGGAGGCTATCAGGGTGTCCCAGCTTCCACATGGGAATACGCATCCACTTTCCATCTTCATGGGACACATACATCTCTTTGGAAACTTACTGAATTTCTGCGGCTGGTGCTCTTTATGCCAGGTCCTGAGGCTATCCACTCCTACTGGTCACTGCTTATGTGTCTGGCCCTGAAACATACAGTCAATTCCTGGAGGTGGTCACAGAGGTGACACCTTCCCTTAGTTCTTGCCACACTAGCATGCAGCTCCCCAATAGAGGGCACATAGACTAGCCTGAGGAGTCTTCTCTCCAGGGCCTCCTGCTGCCAGACCAAAACACACCTGCTAACAGACAGGCTGGAAGCAAAGCATGGCCAGGTATGCCAAGATGTTCCACTATGAAGGGGCGGTAAGAGCCAGTACCGCGTGACACTGCTCTGTGAGTCAGAAGGAAAGGTAAGGATATGGTATAGGTCCCTTCTGTGCTCTTGTGGGGATGGCAAAGTGTGAGACCAGTCCTTCTAGTGTGAAAATAACCAGTCACCCAGCAGTAGGAAGCCTTGAGTAGAAAGCTCTGCTCTTGCCATTCATCTGTCTTCAATAGCCTCTAGGAGATCATGGCCAAGAGGCATGTTGGGATGTCTGTTCACTAGCCATGTAGTTGTGCAGTATTACAGCAGTAGTGGCTCCAGGGCATTATGAATCACTACAGCTGGGAGGGACTGTATATTTGTACAATATCAAAAGCTCAAAACTGAAGCACGTCGGGAACTAGAGTATTGAAAACTTCAGACAGGGCCTCTGCCTCTGCTAGTGGAGTTGAGCGACAAACACTTGCTTCTAGAAAAATCTGAGAAAGGGGTGAAACAACATTGGGTTAGCGTTCTTTATAATATGATCACCTGCTGATTATCTAGAGATTATCAATATTCAAGGATAAATCAGTGTTCAAAATGAGTCAAAACAGGCACGTCAATCTAAATATGTAATATTCTGGCTTGCAAAATGGCCAGTGGGCTGATCAAAACATGGTTAGCTATTTACACAAGAGATACTTTATCCCAGAGGTACTCAAAAATATTAAGATTCTCAAATTGATGTTTAGTCTCGGTGCCTAAAAATATTGGCTCTGTTTCCTAGAGGGGAGGAGCAGTAAAAGGAGATATTTATACTGGATTTATAGACTAGAAGTACTGCATCACCTTGAGCTTTTTTCAGGGTAAAGAGTAGCAAGTCTTCTTGTGTCCCATGTTTATAAGAGAGAGAGAGAGATAGGGAGAAAGGAAGTGAGGGGAGAAGAGGTAGGAAGATAGACAAACAGAATAACCAGCCACTTCATTTCCTATGAGTTACTCCTGCTCCTTTTGACTATTTGCCCTCTTAAAACAGTCCCTTTAAGAACAGTAGTCCTCTTCCTTCAATAAAGAAATCTGGAGGTTTAGTGAGAGCATCAGAATCTGTTTTCTCTCTCCCCTAAGGGACAGATGTCACATGAACATGACCTATATGGATATTTGGTGGGTGCATTTTTATTTTATTCTTTAATCTAGTGGGTGAGAGTTGCAATAGGAGTGTGTGTGTGTATCTATATCTATATCTATATAGATAGATAGATAGATATATCTGATAGCTAGCTAGCTAGCTAGCTAGATCTGTGTGTGTCTTTGTGTGTATTTATGTCATTAGAATGAAAATGTAACATAAGGTGTTGAAAAGACCTCATGTGGAAAAATCTGTACAATTCTGGCTACCTGTCTTGGAAAAAAAAGAATTCAAATTGGAACAGCTCCAAAGAGGGGCAATCAGGATGACAAAGGGAATGGCCCGAAAGATTTTGGCTTGTCTAGCATAGGGTACAAAAGGTATATCAGATAAAATTGTCTATCTGAAAGTACATTGGGGAGAAGGGGTAAAAAGGGGTTGAAAAAGCTGTATAAATTAAATGATAGTCTGAGGATATTAATCAATTAGCTGTATGAACTGTCCATGAATTGGCATAGGTTATGCACTAGACAGATAATATATAATAGGTGCATCCAAAATATTTTGGGCTGTCCTTGATGATCCTAGGGTTCCTCCCAGACTTATGTCCTATTGCCAGACCCCCGAAAGAGCGTAAGTGCCTCATTCAGAACAAAGGTGAAATGTAGGTGCCTAAATCCAAACTTGCAATCGTGAAAGCCTCTGTTAGCTGCCACCTAACTTGGGATCTGCCTAGATGCTATTCAAGCTTTGTCATGTTTGAATGTAAGGTTTCTCAAGTGCCTAGAGTTCAGTCTCTATGCAAGGTCAGGACAGTCCTAGGCTACGTGCAGCTTTCCACCTAGGTTATGCCTAAACCTGGCAGAATTAAAAAATATGTTTTCTTCTGTGCAGGATTCCTGAGAAGCCTAGTCTATGAGGTGCTCTCAGACTACGTTTAACACACACACACACACACACACACACACGAGAGACTGGGTTTCTCACAAAATCTAGTGGTGCCCACAATCTTGTTTTAAAACATGGCTGGAGGGGGTATTGGTGCCATCTTACTTTTTTCAGTAGCTCAGTGTGTAGCACACCTGCCCAGGACATGGGATACCAATATTAAATTCCCTTTCCCTTGGCTGCCTGAAGGAACTCAAACTGACACACCACAGGAGACCACTCACATCACCAAAGATACAAGACTGAAGCGTAGGGGGGCACTCCGTTCTTCTCTGCATGCCTAGATTTGGTTGTGTCCATGATTAGCTCAGTCTAAAACAATGCCACTTATGCAGGGGAGTGACATTGTTTCTGGGTAGGTACATAGGTAGCCATCCATGTGCACAGGGATACAAGCCACAGAAATAGCGACCACCTGTACATATGCGGCATTTCTGAGACTTAGACGACCAAATCTGTTTCTCTAGGAGCCCGGAAAAAAAAATTCTGCGATACCCTGGCATTTAAGGCATTATTTTTGCTGTGGTGTCTCCTCAATTCTTGACTGAACATTCAGAGCTGCTCTGTTTTTTTTCTTTCCAATGATGATTTCATGGAAAACACAAGCACTTCCCAGAGCATGCACCAGAAACCTCCTACGTGAATCCCATATCATGCCTGTATAGCCTTTTGCATTGACTGTCTGTGGTCCTTTTAACCTTGCGTTCTGTTCTGCATTGCACCAAAGACTCAATAGGGGGATGGAAATGTTGCTGTTTGTTTGAATACCACAAAGATTGTAGTCCTTGCTCCCCAAAAGTCTCTGTTGCATGGGAACTTGAAAGTGTGGATTTCAGACACGTTGACAAATATCTACGGCTAATGAATCACTGCTAGTCAGGCCTGGTCAATGAAAGCCATTTATTCTTCCTGGAAAGTTTTGTACTTTTGAGATACTTTGGTTTGAACCTTTTATCATGTTCTGTTTTCTTTCATTTTGTATTAACTGTCTGTAATTTTAGATTGGATGCAAACCCACAATTAAACCTTCAAAAACGGTCTGGCTTTCGACAAGTGAAAACTACATAGCTACTGAAATCTCGTTGTGTTTTTGTGTGTTTGTTATTACTGTCTGTGTTAGATCATATAGAAATCAAGACATTTTAAAATATGCTTTGTTTACTTAGTTCTCTGCTGGCAACCTTCAGTGCCCGACTTCAGGCAAAAATTTGCATGTATTTGTTTAATAAGGAAAATCCATTAATGCTAGTTGTATACTATAATGAGCAGGACTTCGGAGATTAATCTAAATGCATGGATGCTATGATGACGATTTATATAGCAAGCTAAGGCATAATGAAAGATGCAGTCAGAAAATAGGAGTGAGACTAAGAAATGAGTAAGAATGCATGGGTGTTTTAATTAGGGATCTGTCCTTTAGGATGGGATGACACAGCTGGAAAAATAATGGTTTTCAGGTATGCAATCAAAGCGAGAAATCAGGGGAAAAATAAATGTGTGGAGAAACAGAATTGCTCCCAAAACTGCAGCAGAAGCCATACACATGGGTGCCTGCAATTTTACAGGTCAACAAACGTGTACAAGGCACTGTCTGGGCAGATCCAAACCAGTGATCTGGGCGTTCAAATGTTGTTTCGTTGTGAGATGGATTCACATGAAAACAAGATTTGCTATTTCAGCACCCCAGTTACTTTAGGTCATTGAGAACAAGGTCTCCTAAGGTTACAAGAAAAAAGAAATGAGAGACATGAGAAATGGGATCACTTGAGATTCACTCTTCCTACTCTTCTATATCAACAAGCTCATTTGTACTAAGGCCATTTTGAAGGCCCTGGAATACATGAATTTTACTGAGAGCAAAACACACCAGCAATTGGATATTATAGATTCTACAACTGGGTCTGAAAAACCCGTATTGCTCATGGTCAGGATTTTGGGTGCCTCAAAATTTTCAGTGTACAGCTTTCTAAAAATCAAAATCTACTGGCTTAGTCGATTCTGTAAATTAGAGAGTTGGAGGTTTCTGACATGGATCTATTTCAAATATCTTGTCCTACAATATCCTTCCAGAAAGAGAGAACAACTATAGATGTTCATGTCTCAGTGTTTAATATTAGGGGAGGAAAAACAGTCAAAAACAGTATAGAGGTTGAAAATTGCTGACCTGTGATACACAACCCTTCATGCACCTCTTGTTTAACACCGCTTTTGTGCTGGAAGACTGCCACTGAAATCCTGGTAGTTGTACTGCTGTAAAGCTGCAGTAATGAAATATTGAGCCAGACCTACATATACCATCCACTAAAAGAGAAAAGACTTTGACATTGATTCTGGCATGTTTAGGAAGTAATCTAACTAAGTATAGCCACACCACTTGGGAGATGATTTTCAATTTAGCTTCTTCCATAATTTCTTTCACTTCTGCAACCCCTCGCAATGGTTTTGCGGTAGATACTATGGAACTGTTTTTATGGAATGGTTATATAGGCAATGTCTCCAAACTATTTCTTTTTTGATGGCTTGCAAGAGGTTGAATACTTGAAAAATCATGGGACAAGCTCTTGACATCTGTTTAGTTGCAGCAAATAGAAAAATGCCACCAATTTGCTCCATTGTGTTGAGTTACTTGAGGTGTGAAACTGAATACATGATCAATCAGCTGTTGAGGTCCCTTCCAATCTTAGCATCTATGAATCTATGAATCTATGAAACTAGCACAGAGTTGGCTGCCATTTTTCTGGTAAAATAGCTCCACAGCAAAACCCTTATTCATTGCAGCTCAACGCATCACAGGTTTAATTCTTTTTTGCTGAATCCAAGGTAAGTTTCTAATGGATATGTTTGGTACAGTGACCTTGTGTGGGAAAATAGATGTTTCCATGCTTCCTTGCCCTAGGATAGAAAGCTTTCCTGTGGGCCAGGAGGCATTAGCAGACCTGTGTCCTTCTCCAAAAACTGTCCACCCACAAACTTTGACTTGAAGAAAGTGCCTGCAGATAAATTGCCTGTGGTCCAGGTACCCAGAGATTCCAGGTCCTCAATTATTGATCGGCATCAGGATAGGTCTTGCATGTTTGTTGCTATAAAGCCATACACCTCAAAGTCCTGATGGGTCTGGCTTGAAATAAAGCTTAGCTCTCTCCTCGGAGACAGAAGGCCTACATGATTTGGGGAATCATGGCCAGAGCAACATCAACATCTCTTAGAGCTCCTAGGTTCCCTGGATCCTGGATCCTGGAAAACTGAGATGAAGCACCATGGTTCTTTGGCTTTTGGGCAGCATGCTGGGATTGGAAATCTGGGGTTAAAATATTCTGACTTCCAGGGAAACAAAATGTCTAAAAAGTGAAATTTCCTGTGAGGTGGAAATCTGCTTCTCAGTCATTTGGGAGATTCAAACCCATCAGCTGGCTTTGAGAAATTCATGTAGTCCATGTAGTCCCACCTGTCTATACTTATTTCTGTCTTATGGGAATTCCTTTCACTGTCATTAATTCCAACATTTTTGCTCTTCCTACAGGTCACCGCCTAGGAATGGAAAACCAAACCACTGTGACTGAGTTCATTCTCTTGGGACTTTCCAGTGACCCGCAACTCCAAATTTTCCTGTTCTTTGTGTTTTTGGTAATATACACAGTCACCCTAGTGGGGAATGCAGTCATCCTGCTGGTGATACGAGCTGATTCTCACCTTCATACCCCCATGTATTTCTTCCTGTCTCATTTGTCCTTTGCTGATATCTGCTATTCTTCAGCAATTGTCCCAAAGCTGCTCATGAATTTACTAGCAACACATAAAACGATTTCTGTCAATGCTTGCTTCACCCAATTGTTCTTCACCATTCTCTCAGGTACTTGTGAAGTATTCATACTCTCAGTAATGGCTTACGACCGTTATGCTGCTATATGTAACCCCCTGCATTATGTGGGGATTATGAACAAAAGAGTATGCAGGCAGCTAGTGGCTTTTTCCTGGACCATGAGTCTTATGGACTCACTGGTAAATACAATCCCTGCATTAAAGTTGCACTTCTGTGGGCCCAATGAAATTGGGCATTTTAGCTGTGAGCTTCCCCCGTTACTAGCACTTTCCTGCTCTCAGACATTCAACAACACAATAGCTCTTCTTTCTTCTGCTGTGGTCGTTGGTTTTGGCAATTTCCTCCTCATGTTGGTTTCCTACATCCAAATCATCTCCACCATCTTGAGGATACACTCTGCAGAGAGTAGACATAAAGCCTTCTCCACCTGTAGCTCCCACCTCACTGTGGTGGTTTTATTGTATGCAACAGGGCTTTTTCAGTACTTGAAACCCAGTTCAATTTCTTCAGTGATCCTGGATCAAGTTTTCTCCATCCAGTACAGCATTGTAACCCCCATGTTAAATCCCATCATCTATAGTCTGAAGAATAAAGAAGTGAAAACAGCCTTGGGGAGAATTTTCAAAAAAAATCAAGTTCTGAACTGATGTAAATGAAATACAACTGTAAATAGAATTTCTAAATATTTTTTATTTAAATAAATACTACTGAAAATACAGAAGCCTGGTAAACAAGCTATTAGGATGCTCTGAGTACATGTACCTGGATGATTTTAGGACACAAACAGCAATGATTTTTTATTTTTAAAATATCCTGGGTTGTATCTGCCACTGAATGTAGAAATTACCACATGAAACGAACCAACCTTAGTGTTTTAACTAGACTTTAAAAGATGTTTAGTTCAAGTCAAGGCATCTCAGTTAAGCCTGAATTTATCTTTAATTTTAGCTTATTTCGATGGCAGTTGAATTAATAATTAATTCAACATACATAAGTACACCAAACACCTCTACTAGTGAAAATGGTCAAGTATAGACTGCAAAATATATTAATCTCACAGCAAAGTAACAAGTCCATCCACCCTGAGGGACCCAGAACTTTAGGGGATGAAGTTCTGTTGACTTATAGTTGATTGTAAGCACTTGATTCCTGAGGTCCTTGAGGAACCATATTGTATATCCTATCATTCTGCAATTTTTGCAAAAGAGCCAGATGACAGATACGTAGCACAAACTAGAATAGGTGGAAGCCATCTGTAGCAGGATGAGAGCAAGATGCATAGTAAAACCTCCTAACATTCATCAGACTCCTGCTTGCTTGGTCCCAGGTAGCCTCTTGTTCTCTCACCTACCACACCTTTGATGTTACTTTTGGAGGAATAGATGTTGGGAGACTGCCCAGGAGCCCCAGGGAACTTTTTGTCTAGTGCCTAGATTCTATCTCTTTCTCTTAATATTTCTCAGTACTAAATTTCTGAAGAGCTGTGTTCATCACCTCTATGGCCAATCCCATACTTAACGGGTGGCACTGTCTGGTTACTTTCTTTTGTTGGGGCTCAGCCTCCTCGGCACTCACCACTCCGCTCTCACTGGCCCCTTTTGCTAAGGCCCACTGCACTGGACCTTAGTTATTGGGCACCAGCCCTTACCTTGTTCTTCCTGAATTTGGGCCTCAGCCTGATCTTGCCCTCTGGGGCCCTTGGCCTCCATGTGTCTATCTTTTTTTGGGATCTATCTCTGCCCTGCACTGGACACTATCTTCCCCACTCTGGACACTGGCTATCCTCTGCTCTGGGCAATGCTGGATCCTTCCTCTCCCTTCTACTCCCAGTTCAAATCATGAGTTATAGAACAAAAAAAAATGGCAGGGTCACATCTCAACCCAATGCACCCTACACCGGGTACTCTGATGTTAGACCCCCAAAAGTATGCTGTTAAGTTCAAAGAGCTGTACAACATCCCCCCCACCCCCCTCCCTCCCAAATGAGCCATTGCTTTAACACAAACCACATTGTCCTCACTCAAATGACCCTCAGGGCATGACCCAACCTTGGGCTCTCACCCTGCTCCTGAGGCCTCTGTCTATTGCCTGAGTACCCCAATAAGGTGTTCAGCTCCGAGCAGAGATTTCTCCAGTCTCTGTTCTTTTCACAGTCCTTTCTTCCCTGGAAGTCATGGACCCTCCTCCTCTTGCCCTTATCTAGCTCCTTTGAGTACTACCTGCTAGGGCTGTGCAAAACGGCACCATTCTGTTTCGACATTTCGACAGGACAGTGTTTCATTTCATGTTTCATTTTGCTTCAGAACCACTGTTCTGTTTCGTTTCGTCAAAACTGTTTCACTGTTTCAACGCTGTTCCGATGTTTTACCCATAGGTGATAATAGGGAAGCATGAAATTGCCTATAACTTTGTCATTTCTTGCCTGATTCAGATGAAATGTGCACAGATGGTAGCCCTTTCTGAGGACATGAAGTTTGCCAAGTTTCAAGGAGGGGTTTCAGGGAAACTGCACTGCAAAGTCTTGAAAGCAAAACTCACGTCACTTGTAAATGTGAAGACACAGGGGGGTGAAAACTTCAGAGATGGTAGATTGTGATGAGGCCACAAAGCCTGCCAAATTTCAAGGAGATAGGTAGAGGGGTTTCTGGGAAACTGTACCTTAGGCTGCTGACAAGCAAAACTCGTGACATAGGTGACACTGTCTGTGTGTTAAGGCACAGCAGGGTGAAAACTACAGGCGTGCTAGGCCCTACTGAGGCCTTGGAGCCTGCCAGCTTTCAAGGAGATAGGTGCAGAGCCGGGCCTATAAACTTCACTTCATCAGCCTCCTAGGTAATAGGCACAGAAACTCATTGCCTCATTGGGGCACACTACCATGTCATGTAGAGGCCCCAGCATCAGTGAGGGCGCACCTTAACACACACACATAGTCACACATGCCACGAGTTTTGCTTGTCAGCAGCTTGAGGTGCAGTTTCCCAGAAACCTCTGCACCTACCTCCTAAATACTGTTCCATCGAAACAGAAGTTGGAGTGGAACGGTGCTGTTTTGCAGAGCCCTACCAGCCTTCCTGTGCCACCACTTCTCCCTGCTCCCCTTTCCTTTAGCTCCAGCATGAGAACAGCTGCACTCTCACCCCAGCCAGCAAGTGGAAAGGGAGCAGGGGGCCTGTGAGAAGTGGTGGCAGTATCAGGCCATGGCATGGGCACAGGCAGCATCAATATCCTCTCACCACTGTTGAAAGATTGACAAAGCCAACCAATCTGCACCAGAGAGGTGCCAGGTTATTTCAGCTCACAGCTTACAGAGCTGCCAGCCCCTGCACTCAAGCAACACAGTTGTGGCCTGAACACTGTGCTGGTGCAGCCCAGGGACTGTGGACAGCCCTGAGAGTAACCTGCAACACTACATTAAGTATGGCCTTCACTAGCCATCCTTCAGCTTGGGATAACTATTGAATCCCAGCCCAGAGGATTTGAACTGCCTGGCAAAGGTCAGGATAAAGCCAACTTTTCTCAATTCATCACAGAGCAAGTTCTGTTTTCCATTACCCCCACACATGTAGCTAGGACAAATGCACACACTGAATGGAGTCATTTCAGGGACAGCAGGGACGTATTTCTGCACTTGTGTTCAGTGTATGTGTGTCTGCACATGCACACACACATACACTGAACAGGACATATTCCCTTCTGCTGAAACAAAATCAAAAGAGCAAAAGGCATCAAAACATATAGATACACACATACCTATGCATTAAAAGATATCACATAGTATCACCTAGTTATAATGCTGCATATTCACAGAGCAAATCAAGATCTACCTTGATTCATTAATTATTATTTAGCAAGCACTGGCAGCTTGTTATGCAAGCGCTCCTTATCCCCAAGGTAGTTGAAAAATATTTAGTCGTCCAGTAAATATTCCGAACAAAGAAGGATGTCGATTCTTTGTTTCTAAAAGGGGAGGGGCAATCAGGGCAGGTATTTATATTGCATTTCCAACACCCGGAAAGACCTTTTTTCAGGGTCAAGACTAGCATGTATGATTATGTTCTTTATTAGTAAGAGGGAAAGAAACAAGGAAGACTACAATGAGAGGTGAGTAGTAGGAAAGCAGACAAACCTACTGATGGCTCACTGAAAATATATCAGGATGCTCTTGTTCCTCTTGAAAAATGCCCACCTAATAGCTCTCTTATCTTAACACCAGTACGTCGCTCTTCAAGTTAGGCAGTGCCGAACTCCAGTAAGAACAAGGAGTCCTGTCCATCTCTCTGTCTGTGCCGGGGACAAAAAAAATAATCCCCCTTTTTTTTTACAGATGTGTGGTGAGTGGATTATTGTTTTATTCTTTAATGTGCTGGGTAGGGTTCTATGTGTGAATGGTGGAAGTATATATGTGTGTATTATTTAAAAAGAGATATTTCAAGTATTCAAAGAAAATGTAGCCTAATGTATTGAAAAGACTCGGGTAGAATAATATGTACAGTTCTGGTTACCAATCATTAAGGGAAAAAAATAGAAAACTCACACATACAAGGAAGTTCTGCTAAGCTGAGCATATGATCTGTCTGAGGTTACTTTGTTTAGCTTGGGGAAAAAAGGCCGAGAAAGAGAAAGAATTATTCTCTTTGAGTCAATCAAGGGTGGTACAAATCAAAGGAAGGTAAAGAGGGATTTAAATTAAACAATAATGTCAGCACATGAAAATAAATGTATTTAAATTGGCCCTAAATATGGCTGAGCATTTGAACAAGATTTTAACCATTCCAGTTTTGAAGTCCTGGTACAGATTTCCAAGAAGTTTAATGGGAAGCAACATAGCCTAACACAACTGAAGACTGAGCCTGACCACTTTCAGAAAGAAAATATATAATGCAATTGGCCACCACCATGAGGCTGCGCTTGATCCCTCGGAGGCCTTTCCAGTCTTCTTTTCTTTGGGCCAGACCTAAAAAGAGCTTAAGTACCAAAATGGGGACTTTGGCAAAATGTAGGTGTCTACATCTAACTTGTAACTCTGAGATGCTATGCTGAGCGGGAACCTAACCCTGGAAATGCCAAAGCCCTTTTGGGCATGTCCCCTGTTATAGCTTAAAGTTTCCCAAGTGCCAAAAATTGTCTGGTGTGCTGGCCCTGACAACCCCAGCTATGACAGTGACAAGCATCTCTGCATATATATCATGCCTAACCCATGCAAGGATTCGCAAATTGTGATCTTCAACTTAAGGCTCCCGAGGAACAAAAGCCGGTGGTTGTTCAAGTCTGGTCTTGCACCCTCCCTCTCTCCCACACACACACATGCACACAATTTTTTTTCTCACAATGAGTGATGGTGCCTTCCATCTTTTTAAACATGTCCAGAGGTGGAGGTTGTGTCACTTATTTTAATCAATAGCTCAGTTGTTAGAACATTTACCTAGGACGTAGGGTACCGATGCAATTCCCTCCTCAGCTTGAAGGAGCAAAAATGCACACCTCCACAGAGAGTGTTCAGACCAGCAAAGTCAGGAACCTGTTGGCTACTGTTCAGGGTATTCATCTTGTGGGTGTCTGCTCCACTTTAGTCCTCACTTTCAGGTCTATTTCTCTTTTCTTTTTGTTTTTCACCCAAGGACATTTAACATAGAATACAAAGACATTC